GCGCGCGGTGTGGTTGGTAGGGAACTTCATCGTTACATGAGTATTCGGTAAGGGCTTGATTGAGCGCTGATGCGAGGTTCTGGACGTCGGATGGAGAAATGTTGTGGAGGAGGGATTGGATGTCGGCGTCGGAGAGGACGGTAAAAGTCATGGTGGTTACGAGAAGGGCCGACTTCAGATGTCCGGGAACTTGGTGAACTGCGTTCGATGAACTTTATGCTGATCGTGCGATGGATTCCTTCCTTGTCTTCCTTTCTGCGCCCTATCCCGGTGTCATTTGCTGTTGCCTAGTGTTGACGTTGCCGTTGTATGCGGAGATGCTTGCCTGCGGGTACTGTCGGGCCACTGCCCCACTATATCCTTGGGCAATGGGCAAAGGATAACAAAACAGCGATATAATCGTACGCATCGACACATTCCTTGTGTGGAAAGGCAAAGCCGTCGCGCCGACTAAAATTATGCAAATGACACGTCGTCCACAATTCCCTTCTTCCCTAGCACGGCACACCATAGCTTATCCTGATTGTCATTGACTTGAAGACCGGGCCTTGTCAGCCAAAGGTCAATCCGCGAGACAAGAATTTCCTGTCGGTCGGTGGCTCTGGTTTAGGCCACACATGGGAACGTGGAGTTATGGGTGAAATCGGATCGAGTGTGTCGCGCCTCGTCAAATCTCCTTCCAGGTCGTAGCGGGGCTTGATCTCGCCCAGGCTGCGGAACACGTCCCCGCAGCTCTTTCGTCGCAAGTTGCCCAATCTATGGGTGCTAGCTGACTCTGATAGAGTTTTTCGAAGCACTGGAATACCGTGTTGGACCTCTGGAGTCTCCTGCTCTTGGACCACCAACATGTCCTCTTTGATCAAGTCGAGGAACTCCCTGAACTCAACGGTACAGCGTCGATGCTCTCTCAATTCATCCATAACCTGGAGCAGTTTAGTGATAAGCAAGGTTTCATCTTAGTACCCATCGTAGTTTAGTGAGTTTAGTATGGAAAGTCAACTCAATAGACTGACCTCGATGACTGCAGACTTGACTTTGGCTCTTTTCACTCCTGCCTCGAAGTATATAGAAAAGAACGTGTCACTAGGTATGTCTGCCATAAAGGGATCGCTTGCCAGACGCCTTTCGCCAAATCGTTCAACCAGTTTACGCCCCCCAAGATACCACGTAATGAACTGCAGGTATACACATCCAAGAGCCCATACATCACATGCGCTGGTGAGAACGCCGTCGAGCTCCATCTCAGGCGAGCGATATGTTTCTGAGTTCGGCATGCGTCCAGTCCGCCTCGTGTCCCAAGAATTCTCCGTGCTAAAACGAGCAACTCCGAAATCGGTGATCTTGAGAATACCATGGCCGCCTGGAGTCACGTCGTCTGGATACCAGAGAATGTTTTCCGGCTTGAGATCTCCATGACGACCGAATAGATTTCTCATCACCCGGGTCGGGCTCGTATTCTCAACTGACCCAAATTGTTTCTGCCTCCCGACCGCCTTCCGCACCGGTGGGTCTGAGCCGTAATTCAAGATGGCGCCAGAGAGGGTGGCGTACCGATGCACACTGTTCAGTCCAGCGGCAAGGCCAAGGCATTGGTCTACAACCCATGTACCCATCTCCTGGACCTCGGGCGTACGCTGCCTCCAAAAGTCGAACAAATCGAGCTCTGCCCATGGGAAGATGAGATGATAAACCCCGTCGTGTTCATAAGTAGCTAAGAGGGTGACAAGGTGATCGTGAGCGTGTTTACTATCGCTTAGCTTGGTGAGAATGGTAGCTTCTCGTCTGAAATCCTTTTTGTCGCTTGATCTCAAGGCTTTGATGGCGTAAATATTGCCATTACCCTGATGCGGTCATTGTCAGCGTTCCTCACACCTTACAGCTGGAAACAACATTATAACGTACCTTCATCTTGTCTAGACGATCATGTTCGGGGTGAATTTCTGTCTCAAAAACTCTACTAGATCCTCCTCGTTTTGGAACCTCGGTGTAGGTTAAGAATGGCAGGATTGTTTCAGAGTCGAGATCAACATGAGGGATGGCAGCACCATCGGCGCCGATAAAAATCGGCACAAGAACACTCCATTGGTGCTCTAGAAATTCTTCGGCGTAGTCCTGCCTCTTGAACGAAATAGGACCAGCTTTTGAGTCGTGTCTGCTTATCAGCGAATAAGAGCCGTCCGGTCTGTCGGAATGTGGATCTCTCTCCAGCGGAAGGTGTTTGTCGCAGACACCAGATTTGATAAAAAGTCTGATCTTCGATGGCTGCTTCATAAGGTAGAGGACCGTGAGGATCTTCACGTACGGTGTGCCATCGTCAATGCTCAAGCGCTGTTTCCCTATTCTTCCGAATTTCGAATAGTTCGAGTTCGAGAGCTCTCGCTGCACTACCGCGCTCGTAACGATCTTCTCAATCTCAACCTCTGGTAGGAAATACCTTCGAAGATACGATCGACGTCTAGCTTCCCTAAGTCTATTCGGAATCTGTGATGTAGAACTATCACTTGGTAAACGCGTCTGTGCCCACCGTCGCACAAATAAAACTGGGTTGACTGCATGTTTTCGGATGTCAAAGGCATCCGATCTCTTGGGCACAATGATGTCCGTCAGCCTTTTCTTAAAGGTCGTGATCTCCGTTTGTAATGGTACTGGAGGCGAAGCCGTACTATCCAGTTCCTTAATAGCTTTGAGATCTGTCCGGGTAGCACGACCCGCCTCGGATGGTGTGTTTATCTCGCACGCAAACAGAGGCTCGCTAAGTGGCCGCGGTCTTCGCTGTAGATCTTTATTGCGTCGTTAGCTAGAAGCCGATGAATCATTGTGTTCAATATGCACCTCGTCGTCCGGTCTGATTGTTCAAACTGCTCGACGTGAAAGCCCACCCGCTGCTGCGTGTGGATGAGTCCACCTCTACATGATCATTTCGTGGCTCAGATCGGTCATCGTGAGGCGAGCTCAGGCCCGGCTGATGGTGCGGGATTACCGATGAGCTTGCGACAAAGGCCATCGTATGTTTGGGTTCATGGCAGTACCAGTCGGCTTGGAACGTGTGCCTGAGGCATCATGCTTCCTGCAGTCTTGTGGGCTCGATGTAGCCAGTGTGCTCAATGTCTAAACCTTGAAGGTCTGCTGGGCGGTACGTACTTCCACTGAATGTGGGGTCCGAGCATGCAGTATGGTGGAATCCCTGCTAGAGGCGTAGGCTACTGGACAAGGTAGGCAGGTGTGACAGTCTATTGCTCTCAACGCGTGCCGTCTATCGCAACCCTATCGCTTAGAGCTGGCGTGCCTCGAGTAACACCCGGCTTGGCCAACAATGTAAACATCGCCCAGAGGAGGTCCAAGTGGTTTGATCCCATCGACCAAGTGCTGGAGGAATCGACCAGCATCGAGAAGTATAAGTCGTCGAGACGCTGCTCCTTTTCAAAAGAACGATGTATGAGGCGGCCTTAGCAAATGAATTGTGTCATCTCGTATCGCGTGATGCAAATGGATAATGGCACTGCATGAGGCAGGCAAAGCATCCTCGACGCCCCCAACATGCATTCATTACATACCCATAGTTGGTGTGTCGGCTAGGAGCATGATTGGTTGTCCAGCATACGCTGTGGCTGAAAGATCCTTGACTGCTGTGGTAGACTCAGCCCACCGAGCGTCAAGGACTTCGAGTATAACAGCGACAGAGACACGGCGTTGTCCCCCCAGTATCCTCACAAAGATTCCAGTATCAACATTGCGGATAATCATGGTCGATCTGATCAAGAAGTTCGAAAGTCCCTTCCGGAAGCCATCGTCCAAGCAACGAAAACCGTCCGACCCGAGCGCGCCGAATCTGGATATCAAAACTGTAACTCAATCGGTTGACGCCGCTGAGATTGATCCGGAAAAGTTGATGAAAAAGCTAAAACAAAGGTTCCCGTCTGGCTTCAAGGTTCATGTGCGAAAGACCGGGAAGATAGGAAGTAGAGGCTCACTAACTTGGGACTGCAGATGATGCACAATACTTATATCATCGAGGCCACTGAGGAGCTTTCACTGGTATGCTGGTACCTCTTGAAGATACTCGCTGTGTTGTCTGACTCCATCGCATAGGACGATATAGAGGAGTGCCGGTAGGGGTATAAGGTTTGGAGACAGCGCTAGATGGTCCGTTTGGCTGTTCTGCCTGCAGCGAGGGGGCCGCATCGTGCGTCGCAATTCTGATCATTACCGAATCGATCGATATGCTGCTGTAAACTCGTGTGATGGAACCTTGAAAGGTTGCAGAAATGGGCGCGTCTATCAGGGGAAGGTACGCACCTAGCGAAGTGGGGCTATCTTGCAAAAGCAAACGTCATTACGCGACAGCGAACGCGACGCGCCCCCAGCCTCGTGATAAACATGAATCTGCGTCTTTGAGCGAAGTTTTGCTTCACAATGCATTTATCTATCAACATGCTCAACTGTAAATCTTTACGACACCTCATCCGCTTCCGAACTCAATGCGATAACACTGAGAAGCTCGAGATTACCCCGGACGACAAGGCTGGCCCCCACACTGCCTTTCCCGATCCCAGAGCAGGCTGTGCCGTAAGAGGAACGGCAATGCATCTCGGCTGGTGGTCTGGATACAACCTTGGAAAGGTACGGCACGATGATACCCACACACATCCCGGCCGCCTTGCGCTACGCTTTGACCGTCTGTTCTGCGCGCTGGTTTGTCGATGGCCCCTTGACCTTTGAGCAGCTGAGAAAAACGCCTCGCTGCCTGTTGCGATGGTGTGGCGAACTTATGTACAGCTGCTGTACCCCATGCCTAAGCCTGATAAGATCTTGGTCAGCCGGTATTGGCTCAGTCGCCCCAACGCATGTCTGCGCTTTCATAAAGCCTCGTTTGAGCGTGCCATCATACCTTACGTGCATATTGACAGTAGGTCCCGAGGAGCTTCGAAATTTCATCAAAACTCTGACCATAGAGCCAAACATCTGGAGAAAGGGTTTGCTTTCCGCGATCGACGCGAATCATGGCAGACTGCAACGAGAATGCGGCATGTCAAGAACATTCAAGACCCAAGGACTGCGCAGACGACACAGATAGTGATGACGAACCAAGCTTCCAAGAAAAGCTCAAAAATTTGCTGTCATCTCACGCAATCAAAAGCGCGTTCGAGAAAACACCTATCAAGTTCGTCCCCGAAGGCATCATTCACGAGCTGATTACGGAAGACCAAATCAAGGCCGCCTTGGATATACAAGCAGCAACAGTTGAAGAAGACGAACTGGTGGGATTCACACGTATGCGCGCGAAAAAGATATTTGCTATCGTAATCCACGTACAGCCAAACAAGATAGTCGCAATCATGAAATGGTGGAAGAAGAATAATATGGACGATGGCGATCTGCCGATCACCTTTCGGCCTGGATGGAAGAGGCAGTGGCTTTCGGAATTTTGCGAAATGCAATGGATGTTCCTCGCTCCTGTCTTCTCGACAACTCAATACAACCGCAATCTCGATGACGCCCACATCTTACCTTTCATTTCCAAAAGGTCAGATTCTGGTAGAGGATCTTTCGGCGTGGTGTCACAGTATGTGATACATAGGAAGCATCTGGATCCGGTCAGTATGCGGGTAGCTTTTTGAACATTTGTGGCAGCGATCGCTGAATCGAAGCAGCCGTTCCTGGATCATAGTTCGTTCGCAGTCAAGGAGATTCAGCCTTCCGATAACGCGCAGGAAGTTGCAGAACATTGGGAAAGAGAGGTCAAAGCCCTCCGAACCATGAATGAGTTGAACCAAGATCACATCGTTCGTTTCGTTACAGCTTTTCGACGCCGTAGAGAGCACGGCGATCCAGATCACTACCTGATATTTGAATGGGCTGATGGCGGAAACCTCCGCAGTATGTGGAAGAGGGAGCATTCCCCAATATTGACGGCAGCATTAGTCAAAGATGCTATGTTGCAGATACTGGGACTTGCCAGAGCACTCGCGGCTGCGCACGACCTCGACAAGACCGGCGCATCATACCGCCATGGAGACATCAAGCCGGAAAACATTTTGTGTTTTAGTAACGGTCGCACGATTGGTACTCTCAAAATTGGCGACTGGGGTGAAGCGAAAGAGCACGGACAGGTGACAGACATGCGTCCCAGCAAAACCACAGCAAAATATGGCACTCGTGTCTATGAGGCCCCTGAGGTCGAAACGGGCGTCAGAGCTAAGTACCTGGGTCAGTCAACAAAGCGCCGCTCTCGACTATACGATGTCTGGGCGATGGGATGCATCACTCTCGAATTCACCATATGGCTGTTGAAAGGGTATGAGGGACTTACTCAATTTCGTCATGATCTTGGGGAAGGGAGCTTTTACGAAATAACAATCGAGAACGGAAAGAAAGTAGCTCATGTGCATGGAACTGTCATGCTTTGGATGAATACATTGGCGGGAGACCCCAGATGTCAGGCCGGAAGTACAGCAATAGGGGATCTTCTGGAACTTGTGAGAACATCACTACTGGTTGTTAAGCTTCCACGAAGGCTCGGTTCGAATCTTTCAGAACTCCCAGAACGACCTCGTACCGACTCGGTCGTCTCGGAGGCAAGGCTTGAAGCAAGTGTTACTCCCGCGAACAACACACCCTTTGACCTTGAGGATATCCCAGATGTAGCAACAGCTGTAGGAATCCCTTCTTTCAGCATCACTCCTGCTGAAGCGGAGCCTGAAAGAATCCCCATACAGCCTGAACCCGAAGCGCAAGGTCACTCACGATGCCTCGCAGCCGAATTCTGCTCGCGAATGGAATACATTGTCGCAGAAGATCCGGATGAAGATGAAGGCTATTGGCTTACATGTTGGGTACAGCCTGCAGAACTCCGCTCGACGGCAGATCATATACTACCACCCTCTCCCACCACAGAAGTCTACTCTGGTGAGGTCTTCCAAAAACCAAGCTGGGAAACCAATCGACCTACCGTTGGCGGGTTGATTGCACCCTCCCAGAAGAGGGTAAGTTGACATCACCGATCGTCGGTATCACTAACGACTAACTCATGATGTAGATAGACTACGCGCCTCCAGAACTCGATGAAGATGACTGGAAGTACCAATCTGGCAATGATCTTGCATCAAGTTTGTTCGTCTCACTCAGGGAAAGCAAATCCCTGGGGTCGTCCGACAATATCTCTCAATCTCGACTCTGCTCAGATTGCATCTGCCTCCAAGAGGAGTTGTTCACACCAGGATTTTCTAAGTCGTACGACGTGCACACCCTTCGAATGAGCGCCGAGAGAAAGCACTGTGACTTGTGCGTCCTGCTCTGGCAGACTGCTATCCGAGACGGTGGCGTGAAGTTTGCGAGCATCAAGCTTGAGCGGACTGGTTCGTTTCTCCGGATGAAAAGCAATGGCCTTCCTGTACTGTCCATCGTCCATTATCCGGAGGAGCTCTCTAGGGTTACCAGCGATGGCCAGGTTGGATTTGTTCAGCTCCCAGAAGCAGGTAGCACCACTCACCTTGAGGTGCTCCAGCACTGGCTCCACGATTGCAACGGCCATCACGGATGTTCCCCAGCTCAGCATACAGCAAATAGCACAAAGATCCGGCTACCGACGCGGTTAATCGATGTTGGCACAGATGAGGATGACACAATTCGACTGTGGGAGACCGAACCATCGGATGTGGGCGAGTGGATTGCTCTATCGCATAAATGGGGATCTCGACATCTTTCTACCACACCCGAAACCCTTCAAGACCACCTAAACGGTATCAAAATCGGCGTCCTCCCAGCCACATTTAAGGATGCGGTAATCGTAACCCGCGCACTTGGACGTCGTTATCTTTGGATAGACTCACTTTGCGTGATACAGGGTCCACAAGGCGACTTCATGACCGAGGCCAAGCGTATGGAAGCAGTTTATAGCGGCGCCTACTGTGTTATCGCGGCTAGTTGCGCTACTGACCACTATGACGGCTTCTTGAAGCCTCGCACTCGACGAGAGTATGTTGGTCTGAGTGGTCAAGGCAATGGTCAACACCCTTTCTACATCTGCCAGAACATCGATAACTTCAAGGACCATGTGCTTGGTGGTGAGTTGCACAGTCGTGGTTGGGTCTTACAGGAGCACGCTCTCGCCCGTCGAACGCTTTTCTTCACGGAGCATCAAACTTACTTCGAGTGCGGTAACGGCGTGCGCTGCGAGACGTCAACAAAGTTGGATAAGTAATTTATACCCACCGCTGTCAAGATATTCAGATCGACTGACATTCTCCAGCCCACTCGCTGCCTTCCTTGGCGACCCAGATTTCCCACATATGGTTTCCAATGCTTCCCCTGGCGAGAAGATCTTGCGCTTTCAAGGGCTGTACCGTAAATTTTCGCGCCTAGGTCTATCAAAAACATATGACCGACCTACTGCAATCGACGGTCTTCAGCAACGTCTTCTTCGCACGATGCGAGTGAGTGGTGGGTTCGGAATTTTTGACGAAGGATCTAAACTGGGTCTCCTCCGACGAAGCCTGCTGTGGTGCCGGGGCGCCGATACTGACAGTTTGTCTCGTATTCACTTTCCAACAGAGAGTGTCGTCGCCACGGTTCCATCGTGGTCATGGATGGCATACACTGGCGGGATCGACTACCTGCAGCCTGACTTCGACAACTTTGAGTGGGAGGAGTTACAATCGCCTTGGTCATCCAAGGGTCCAACCAATGTCTCAAGCACGGATTTTCACACAGCAAATATAGCCCTCGACGCTACAGCGCGAGAATACGATTCCTTCAAGGCAGGGCTGCAAGGAGAAGGTGACCTAATATTTGACACGCCAAACGGGTCCACGGCACCACAGAGGTATTGTGTAGTCCTCGGAAAGGCGAAAGGCAGCATTTCGCCGGCGATTCAACAACACTACGTCCTAATCGTTGCTGCGACCGCACAGAGAGACCGTAACGGTGACAGAGTGTACGAGCGTGTCGGGACAGGGTGTTTGTCGGGAAGATGTATATCATCCGGTGGGTTCAGGGTGAAGATCCATTAGTCGTAGTCAACCTGTCGTATGATCTCCGCGATGTTCAAACCGATACTGGGGTTCGAAAAAATACTGTAATCATTCGTTGCGTCTATTGGTATATTTACTATTTCTTCACGTAAATGCGTCATGCCGAGATGGAAATCGTACATACTCAGGCGCCAAATAACTCCACAACAGCTAAAACCCTCATAAGGTGAGCGAGTACAATCATATCACTCACTTCCGAGACCATTGTAAGCTGCACATAGCCTTAGGCAATACGCGGCAGCGTTACGCAGACTAGAGCTCAGTCCATGCCAACGTATTTGAACCATAACGGCCGACAATCCTCCCGATTCAGCCACTTCTCGCCGTCTGTAAACTGACCAGTGACGCAACCGGAACACTTTGGACTGTTCGGGCAGTTGAAAAAGGGTATGTGTTGGTATCCGATGTCTCGGAACCAGTGTATCTTACTCTTGTCTTCGAAGAGTCCCAGTGCGACGCTGTGTACTGGAGCGTCGCCCCAACGTTCGTAGAAGAAGCCTCCAGCGCGATCGAGATGGTCGAAATAGTCGCGGTACTTTTTGCTCCTCCAAAAGCTCAGGTCGCCGATCTCGAAATTGGACCAGAAGTGGCATGTTGAGTAGCCGTGGGCTTTCTTGTTGTTCTCAGGCCGGCGCTGGTCGTCTTCCAGCCACTCGCGCGCATTGTTTGGATGTACATATCCCGGATTGTCTTGGATGAACTTCTTCGTTTCTGGCCACAACGTCGCGACGCTGTCGGCGTTATCGTAGATGTTGACGTTGAAGCCGTACGTTTTGTTGTGGTCTTGCATCCAAGCAAAGACATCGTAATCCACATCGCAGAAGAAGTGGACGTTCGGTTCCACCCGCCAGTAGTATTGGATGTCCTTGAGCGCAGGGTGCTCGCTGAACATGCCGCTGTTCCACCGACACATCTGGTGATAAGACTTCTTGCCCATGTACTGTACATCCAGCGACGTAAGCAGGGACACAGACTCCTCGTACAAGTCCATATTTATCCACGACGGAATGTCCCAGTGTTCGGCAGGAACCAGTTCGTATCGTACTTCGGCGTTGGTAGCTGCTCGCGTGGCCTTTTTGAACTCTTCGGTAAAGGGCTTATCGTTGAAGAAGGTCCAGGGGTAGTTGAACTTGTGGTTCCACGTACGCTCAAGGTCGCGCATACTTTGCAGCATGTCGTGGAGCTCTTCATTGCGGACTAGGCTGAGAATCGTGGCGTTGATGCGCGCGCTCGTGGGATTGTTCGGGGCGTAGTTGTCACCGTCGACTCGTCGCAGCGGCTCGGGAGGTTCGCCGGAGGCTGATCACATGATTAGCACTTATACTGAGTTCAGAGCGCATCCCAGATTGCCTTACGATCCAATTGGGGGTCATGGTCCCAGTCGCCGAATTTGTTCGTCGGAACTTTGCTCGGAATCTCGACGGGTTTCTCGGAACCAGGGGCCTTGAGGATTTGCACAAACAGATAGACGAAGATGCAGAAAGTGGCGCCAGCCAAGTAGCGCATGCCCTTGGGAAGCGCCATGATAAAGAGCAGTTGCAGTTGCGGTGGCCGAGGGTTGGGACACAGTCCCGCCTCAGAAAAGTCGCAGGAGCGCTCAACCTCGAGTTTCACAGCCGGCGGTGACGCGGTGCGTGATCACGCTAGCCCACATCAGGCATGATGTCTCTGTCAAGTGGAGCCGAATCAACCGCCGCAAGTCACCACAACGATATCACTACTACCGGGATCTTATTTCCTCTGGCGTCATCGCGCGACGGCAGATGAAGGACGCGTTATCATGGCCCAAAACGCGAAAATCTCTGGACTTACGGACGAGCTGATGCAGTCCATACTGAGACACGATCCCGCAGCAAACAAACAGGCCTACAAGCACGCCAGGGAGATTGCATCGCGCAATCTTCGAGGGCATCAGTATGCAAGAACGAATCAATTCGACGTTACGGCAAGCTTTGCCGGACTAGATGAGAAATTCCGTATCAAGAACCGCGATGACCTTGCTGATGCGCTCCAAACACGGCTTCAAAAGTTGGAGGCGTACACGAACAAGTTCAAGCCAGAGTTCCTATCTCTGTTACTCCAGCTCGCCGATCGGCCTCTTGAGAATACACAGGTCGAAGCCCTAGAGCTGCTGAGACCCCCTAGCCCTCCGCCACCACTGACTTGGGCGGAGATCCTCGAAGACGACCCCTACAGCGATGAGGATATCTGGAAGGACATCGACTATGCCGTGGACTCTTCGGGCGACGAGAAAACGCCCAAAAAGCGCAGGAAGGCTCCAAGCACACCACCGACCAATTTCGACGCAGATGATACTTTTGATCCCGAAGCCTGTGTCTCATCGACGGAGGAGAATCTTGTTACCAAGCTGGAAGACGCGCAATTTTGGACCTCGGGCGCGGATGGTAGTAGCACCGGCGTGAACATAACAGAGCTGCAGGCTGTGCGAGAAACGCTATTCATGCTTGGCGGGCTGAAGACGAGCTTGTTCCGGATCGAAAAGGACAGCATTTCCCCCAATAAGACATACACTGTTGACAACAATCAATCAACCGCTATGATACATCTTCTTACTCAATTCGCCGACACTGGAACACGTATAGAGGCGATAAGACGCTGGACGCTGCAACAACGAGCCAAGAAGACATCATCGTCACCTCTTGTCCAGACCTTCGAGGCTGTTGTACGAAAGCGACTACTTGACTTCGACCACTCTTTATCCGCGATGCAGCAGAGATATCTCATTCCTGATACGCCACTTCCTGTCAGTTTGTTGCCATTCCACGGCGATGTGCGGGCACTATGTCACCCTATCTTACGTCTGGCGCCGATTATCGATGATCTGAGTCGATCAACGGCAACTCAAGATCCGTCGATACCTATAAATCCCTTTTACCACCTGGAAGCATTGTACGAGCAGACCACGCTAGCGCAGATGACACTGGAAGACGAAATCTTTACATACACGTCGAAGATGTTCTTTGAGTGTTTACAGACATATTTAAAGCCAATACGACGGTGGATGGAAACCGGCGAGCTTGGTCCCGACGAGGAGAACTTCTTTGTCATCTCGAGCGATGCACTGAGTGAAGCCGCTTCCCTTTGGCATGACCGCTTCGTGCTCCGCCGTAATTCTGAGGAACACATGCAGTTGCCTGCGTTTCTACAGCCAGCGGTCAAGAAGATATTCAACACAGGCAAAAGCGTTATTTTCTTGAAAGAACTGGGCATTTACGATACAGGTTTACATTCTTCACTGGCAGAGCCGCGCCTCGACCATGAAACAGTCTGCGATACGTCGAATGACGTACCCCTCTCCCCTTTCCCAGAACTGTTCCAGACGGCCTTCGAGACATGGATACGTAGCAAGTACTCAGTCGCCTCAAACGTTCTTTGTCAACACATCTTCGAGACTGATGGCCTGATGCGTGTGCTACATACATTCGAAACACTTTACTTAGGCAGGAACGGTGCCGTGTTCGAGGACTTTGCTACTGCAATATTTGAGCGCATGGATGCCGGCAGACGAGGTTGGAACGATCGATACGTCCTCACGGAGCTTGCACGCGGCGTTTTCGGCACGATTCTGTCTGGCCCAGACACAGAGAAACTTGTCGTTCGTTCTATGAAAACGAAGGCGCAGGGAAGCTCGGTCAAGGGTCTAGCTGCCGTTTCCGTGGATTATGCAGTATGTATTGTAAGAGCGCTCTTTTGTATCCCAGCTAACGATCTTTTTAGGTGCCCTGGTCGATTCAGAACATCATCCAACGCTCGTCTATACCCATCTACCAAGAGATATGTACATTCCTGATGCAGATATACCGAGTCAAATACCAACTGCAACGCGCGCGCATTCGCGCATCCAGAAAGAATCGTCAGCCGATGTTCTACAGACTCCTGCAACGCTTGAATTGGTTCGCCGATGTCCTCCGTTCTTATGTCACCGAGACTGCCGTCTTCCTGACCATACGAGACATGAATTCGGCAATGGAAAAGGCCGATGATATCGACGAGATGTCCCAGATCCACATCAAGTGTATGGAAAGATTGCACCAGCGAGCGCTCTTGTCGAAAGAAGTGAAGCCAATTCATAAAGCGACCATCGAACTACTGGATCTTGGTGTGTTGCTTTCGCAGGCTGAGGGTAAGAGCCATGAGCATGTAGATCAGGAGTTCGAAAGGCTTCTTCCTTTCGTGGCAGCGGGTCTGCGAAGCACAGCGAGGGTTGGGGAGCCCATGTGGGAGCAACTAGCAGATCGACTTGAGGCATTCTCAAGTGCTTCCAAGCCCTAGTTCCTGTGTGCTTTATCTTAACCCCGTATGTATAGAGATAGTTGACTGCAGCGCTGCATCTTCTCCCAAGCACCCATATGGACTTGTGCATGTACACCATCTGTACTTCTCATACACAATATGTTGACGTCGTCCATGGGCGCTCTTCTTTCTCTCCTCCACTCAATGCTCTCGTTCGTGGTTATCGAGACTGCACGCAGCGGAGAACCCAACGAGTCTGAAACACCATATGCCTTCAGAGAGGAGGGTGATTGGATGCATTCAGTGATCGTTTTGAGCTTCGGATGTTTCGATCTCGTCACTGCTCGACGAAGGCTCTCTCTGCTTTTCCCTTTTTCGCGGTATATCGTCCGGATGGGGATTACCCTCGTGGTGCCCGTCGCCTCGTACTCGGCTCCACAATATCATAAAGAAGAGAAAACCGAGAAGCACAGCGATGATCGTAGGTGCTGCGGGATGGCGCATTCTTGTGATAGGTATCGCCTTTGCTTGTTCGCGGATGACGTGGTAAGATGCCAGACGGTCTATCGGGTAATCACGTTTCGCGTCTCGGGATCACCCAGTAGCCCCGTCCAAATCTCGAATTTGGCTTTCCACGCTCTTGTTGGGTAGCTCGGAAGTAAACTCGTCTCACAGTCTCTATCCCGAAAAGACCCCCAACAACCGCCTCATGCACCCCCGATGACGGTCTGGCTGATCAAATTTCGTGTTTATCTTCGCACTGACATCCAATCTCTTCGTGTCGATGGGAAACCGCAGCCACCCTGGATTCCAAATGGTGAGATTGCGTGGTGCACTTGACATGCTCGCATCACGGGCATCTGCGCGCTGCGCTTACATAATACCGCCGCCCTATCTTCGTGAGCTTAAGCGAAAGGGTCAATGCTTAAGGGGTAACGGGTGGCTGGGGTTCGAGGACAGCTGAGCTGCACCATTTCTTGCCGCAATCGACGCCTCCAGCAAAGCTGCCCGATCAAGAAGGTACTAAGCGTAAAACCACACAGTTCCCGGGATGCTGCCCTGTCCTCGCTTGATTTCGAGGACAGCCGACCTATGCCCGAGGACAGCCGAGCTACTCTCCGACTACTAGCGAGGGTCAGCTCAACTTTACCGTCTGTGATTCCTATTATTAGAGAACATCACAGGCATCTGCAAAGCATCTTTGTGAACTCAACAAAGTTTGAGTTCGATTGCGCTATCTGTCGGAAGCTTTCTTCAGCGCTTACGCTCCGACTCTTCATCATCCCTCGGTACCCATTCCGTTCCATTAGCACTTAACAGCTCCGTGACCTTGTCCATGTCTACACCCAACGCGGCAGCCACGTATTTGGGCAAATCGGTGTTATCCCAACCACCCGCCATATCCAGAACAAGCCTGTCACCCATTTCACCAGCAGCATAGCCGTACAGGGTGGTGTCGACACCAGTGTGACCGCCAGTCGACCATTCGAGTCCAGCGCGCGCATTCAGAAGGTCGGCGAGCTCCTGTCCAAATTCATCGCCAGCGGAGAGGAGCGTCTCAACCTCGGCATCGGAGACGTTCGTCAGACCATAGGCAGGAATGATCTCGCTCGACAGATATGCGGCGCGGTCGGTACCGTTGTAGTCGCTCCAGAGCTCACTCAAGTATTCAACAGAATGCGTACTGGGTTGGAGCAACGATGGGTCGTACTGAGAAGGTATGGTTATGCCGCCGGTTTCGTGGTCTGCCACAGCGAGGAAGGCGGTGTCAGGATGCGAATCGATCCACTTCATGACCAAGTTTACGACATTGTTGAATTCGAAGACTTCGTGAAGATGGGCGACTGAGTCGTGCGCGTGCGACGAGTGATCAATTCGCGAAGCTTCGATCATCATAATGTAGCCCTTCTCGTTGGATGCACTGGCCCGCGAAAGCGAATTGAGAGCAGCTTGAGTCATCTCAGACAGCGACGGCTCGCGGACTTCCGTAGCTTGTTGTTGGCGGTCGACCTCATAGCTGAGATCTCCATCCTTGAACAGGCCAACGTAAGGAAGCTTGATGTCACCTAGACCAAGCTCAAGGGCGTCAAAACTCGCACGATCGCGGGCGGTATAGTAGCCTTTTGACTCGGCATATGCGAACAGGTCAATGTCATCAGTGCGGCATGAGTCAGACTCATTCTGAGGCTGGAAGTAGCAGCGACCGCCACCAAGCATCAGGTCAACGCTGATACCTAGGGGATGGCTGTAGCCAATTTGTTGCTCTGCGAGCTTATCAAGAGCGTCTCGGCTCAAAGCATGAGAGAAGTAAGCTAAGTATCGTCAGCGAATATTTGAGGCACCAAGAGAGGATTTCCTACCCGCAGGAGTTGCGTGACTGATGGGTGAAGTCACTACTAGGCCAGTGAGATAGCCTGCTAGCTTCGCAGCTTCCATCACAGACCCAACCGGTGTGCCATCGGGCATTACACCAATAGCTCCATTGTCGGTCTTGTGCCCCGTGGCAAGAGCAGTACCAGCGGCGCCAGAATCTGTCACAAGATTGTTGGCAGAGTGGGTTCGGGTGTTGCCGATGACAGTAACATCGATAGGCAGAGCATTGATTCGGGGAGCACGAGTGGTCGAGTTTCCGTTGACCATGGACAGGTATGTGCGAAGCAGTGTCTGGGAGACAGGACCCATGCCATCGGGAACGATGAATATGAAGTTCTTCGGTTCGATTGCTGCGAGTGTGACTTGTCCTAAAGAGAGGGCAGTCAAGATTGTGGAGGTGCGCATGGTGGGCAACAGGCAGATGATGGGCACTGCAACAGGGCGATGGAAAAAGATGGTGAGGATGAGTTCAACACTTGACCTACAGTACAGCAGTCGAAGCTGATGCAGTTTATATACTGCTAGGTTAACGGCTCATACATCCCACGACCCTGTGGGTACTCACATTAGGCCCTGAGTGTCTGCACATGCCTGTTCGCCAAATCTTGGACTCCGATGACTTCAGTCAACAGTTCTCAACTGGACGATACCTGACTATTGACCAAATTCTCTCACATCTAGTAGAGTTTCCAGATGTTTTGAGCGCTCTTCGATGAGGTCCTGTCAAGTCTCAACCCATTTTACAACACTGCGATACCTCTCATGCGCACTTTGCAACTATTGCGATAGATACCACCGCTCATGTTGTGAAATTTGATGTCAAGGATGTCATTTTGAACCTCAACCACTTACAGCAATTTCCGCAATCACGTTCTGCACCTCCATGTACTGATATGCGCAGGCCCAGCCTTGGTATGTCTCTTCGAATGTGCGACGCTCTTTTGCCAAGGTTCTTGGGGACTTGGTGGGCGGCATGGCGGTCGGCGAACACCACAAGCGTGCCTCCTTCCGCATCCCACGTGTTGATGTTAAGGGCGACGAACATCGCGCTCCAGGACTGACGGATGGCTCATCTCCTGCCAAAAAAATTTGCCTTCGTACAATATCTTCCTGCTGTGTCGACAGCGCGTCTTGCACTCCTGTCGTCATGCTTCCTGCTCACGGCTAATGGGGTTGTTTACCTGTGCCGGTTCGACCTACTCTTTATCCGATCTACGAGCGACAGAAAACAGTGCGACCGCCATACGAACTAGCCCGTATACCTCCGCTCCTAATGTCGTATCCGTTCAAAAGTCCGCTGCGGGAGTGGCGCCAAAAACAAACTCCATTCATGGCGCTTTCAGCAATGGACATCGAGACAGCAGTACCAGCACGCGTACGGAGACTCTAAAATTCAGCGAGCAAGCTCCCTACACAGATGAGGAACAGTGGTTTTGCAGTCGTTTATGAGTCCGGTAGTCTTCACCCCGAGTTGCCATCAAAGCAGACCGATGCCAGTGGCTCGTGCGTCATTAGCGTCATACCCCGCAAACTATTTCCGCATAGGACCTCGGGAGGGGCGTCATCGTCTTCTACTTTCTCATGTGCCTGGTAGTCCACACTTCCCACGCTCCACGACTCAAGCAGATGTGGAGGATAGTCCGGGGATCGTCAAGGTTTAGCAATTTGACACGACTAGGGTCCCTGGAAGTCGCTGAAAGAAGGTTCTGTCCGTCAACGCGTATTCGTGGAGTTTCTCGTACTCAAGACTAGGATACCAAGAGTCTAGGAGATGAGTTGATAAAGTATCGCTTCCGATTGCTGGTTATGGCTCCAAAGTATGAGTTAAGTATAGCTCCCGGCTTACAGTCGCAGTATATGTTCAAGGTATGTATTCCCATAGAATCCGTAGGTCATCTGTATCTCTTTCGTTACTTCCTCTTGTTTCATCATGCGGTCGTACCGCCTACCACTCTATGCGTGGAGTCTGTGGTCGACAGTCTCTGCCCAATCCACCTCCAAAGCGCAGGCCCAATCAGCACTAGAAAGCCTCGCGATCACGAACATTGACGATGTTCGTGGGAATCTTCATCTACCAAGCGTCTCAGAGAACCAGAACGTCACATGGATGAGCAACAAACCTTCCGTGATATCAGCAGACGGCGTGGTTCAGCGACAAAGTGCCGACACTGTAGTTGATCTTACAGCGATTATCGACAGCGACGGCACGACCTCGAATCGCACCTTCAGTGCCAACGTACGTCAGGCGGTCAAACTTGATGCTTTTGAAGGTTATGTCTTTGCGTATTTTACGGGCAACTCGTTGGCTGGCGAGAAGATCTATCTTGCAGCCAGCGAAGGCAACAACGCTTTAGCTTGGAAAGAACTCAACAACGGCGAGCCTATCCTTGCCTCTACTGAAGGCACGAAGGGGTTACGTGACCCCTTCGTCATACGTTCTCCAGAGGGCGATAGATTCTTCCTGCTAGCTACCGACTTGTCGATTGGATCCGGTACTTCCTGGGGAGATGCAGTTCGCAAAGGTAGCTTGTATCTAGAGATCTGGGAGTCAAGCGACCTCAAGACATGGTCTCAGCAACGGCACGTCAAGGTCTCCCCTTCCACTGCTGGAAACACATGGGCGCCAGAGGCGTATTACGATACGGATCTTGGTTCGTACGTAGTCTTTTGGGCGTCCTCTCTCTACGCTGAGAGCGATACGGACCGCACAGGGGCGACGTACCACCGCATGCTCTACGTGACTACTCGGGACTTCGTCACGTTCAGCGAACCCGAGATCTGGCAGGACGCAGGCATGTCACGGATCGATACTACGGTCATACAAGAGGCGAATACATTCTACCGGTTCACAAAAGACGAAGGAGGCACAGGCACAAACTGCTCCGACATTATCCAAGAGCGTTCTGACTCGCTCCTTGCTCCTGTACAGTCCTGGACCCAAGTTGCCACATGCATTGGTCGCAACGCCGGCACTAGCAGTGTCGAGGGACCGACAGTGTTCAAATCCAATCCAGGCGATGTCAATGGCGAGAAGCACTACCTCTTTGTGGATGAGTACGGTGGACGTGGATACATTCCACTAGAGACGGCAGACATTTCCAACCCTGACTGGAAGGTTTCCAGTTCATACAAATTGCCGACTAGCCCACGTCACGGCACTGTGGTTCCAGTAACGGCAAAAGAACTTGCTGGTTTGACTGCGGAGTCAAAACGTTCTGTTCTTGCTAAGACAGCAGGCAGCCCTGTCCTTCCCGGTTTATACGCGGATCCCAACATCGCGGTTTTCGGTGATAACTACTACATCTACGCGACAACGGATGGCTTCCCTGGCTGGGGCGGTAATGTCTTCTACGTCTGGAAGTCGCCTGACCTAGTTTCATGGACCCGATCAGCCGAACCCTTCTTGACCCTCAATGGTACCAGCGGTAACGTGCCTTGGGCGACCGGAAATGCTTGGGCCCCGACCATCATCGAAAAGGACAGCAAGTATTACTTCTACTTCAGCGGAAACAATCCGAAGTACGACCGCAAGACCATCGGCGTGGCTGTTGCAGACGCGCCCGAAGGACCCTTTACAGCACAGGCGGAAGCTATGATCCTTAACGAAGGCAATGTTACCACTGGCCAAGCCATTGATCCAGACGTATTTGAAGACCCGACTACTGGAAAATACTACATCTTCTGGGGCAACGGAGGCCCAGACATCACACCCGCGCTTTATGCTGAGCTCAGCGACGACATGCTCTCGCTGAAGGCCGACACAACGCGTTCCATTGGCGGTCTTCCTGACTTCCGCGAGGGCATCTTCATGAACTACCGCAAGGGCCTCTTCCACCTCACATACTCTATCGATGACACTGGCTCAGAGAACTACCGTGTAGGATACGCGACGTCTACAAGCGTTCATGGCCCCTGGACATACCACGGTCTTATACTGCAAAAAGATGCCTCAAAGGGCATCCTCGCTACTGGGCACAGTTCTATCATCAACGTCCCGAACACCGACGATTGGTACATCTGCTACCACCGATTTGCCATCCCGAACGGCAACGGAACGAACAGGGAAGTCACCATCGATAGACTGTACTTTGATGATCAAGGCTTGATGAAGCCCGTTGTGCCTACTCTGGAAAGTGTACCAGCGCAGCCGATCTCGGCGTAGATATGCAATGCTTAGAATAGACTGATATAACAACACATTGATTCAATATACATGAAGCCTTCGTAAACGACAGTGTGACTCACAAACAATAGCAAGCTCCGACAATTTCACTCCGATACGCCATGCCACTGGTACTCAAACCTGTTGCATCATCCCACTTCTCCATTGCCCATACTCAGAATCCCAGGCCCCTCCTCCTACTGAAGCCCCTAGACAGACTCCTACTACTCTCCAAGCCCAAGCCTAAGCCAACTCCACCCAAGATCTTCATTCCCTTCTTGCGACCGATGAGCAGCTCCTCCAGTATCAAACTCACTTCCTCCATTTGCTCCTTGAACTCCTCCATTGCCTTTCCCAAGCACACACCCTCCTCCCACATGTCGCTGAGGTGGGCTTCGCTCAGGTCATCGGGCTTGATCGTTTCAAGCGGCTTGACGACGGCGGTGAGATGAGTAAGGTTGGCGGAGACGATAGCTGCGCGGCGGTTCAGAGCGCTGACGCGAGAGGGGAGGTCGATTGGGGTGTGGATGGCAGTGGGTATAGACAGGTCTTCGTAGGAGGGGACGGGTGTGAGTTCGGATTGGTAGAGGTAGCCGTGGTCCCAGGAGTAGTTCTGCTGGCGGCGTCGGAGGTGACGCGACGTAGAGTGTGGTGAACCAAACATTTTGTGATGATGGGTGCTCGGAATCTTTGCGTTAGAACAGTGTATAGGATCGGGTTGAACCGTAAGGGAAAGAATGGATGATCAAGCTCGAAATCGGTATCCCGTGCGACAGGATGTATCTGATATACTCGTTCCCTGTCGCTATCATGAGAGAGGTGGGGCCACATCGATGGTATCGGGATGCTGCATAGCCGATGTTTGGGCTTGCTCGACCGCAATGCTTGCTATACGTTGGCTCAGCAATGCCATATCTATGATTTCTGGAGTACTTACCCGGGCTAGGTGACGCGCTTAGGAAGTTTGGATTTAGCGATCAAGCTTGATGGTATCGCAGCAATCACGGAACTACAGCGCATTGCTCGCAACAACGGAGTTCAGCTGCTTACACGCGCCTACCCATGAAAATCGATCCAGCAAACTTCTGCATCTCTTCATTGCCTGCTACTTCCCTGAAGCGGCTTCCTGCTGCGAGTACACCAACTTGATCATCACGCAAGCAACATTAAGCTTCTCGTGCCAAACCTTAAACAGTTTTTCCACCTCAGCACTTTCATCAAGGAGCCCATCTATTGCATCTGTCATCTCCTGGCCTCTGATATCGCCAATGGTACTGTTGGCTATTTCGTTGAGCGTGTTGATCTTCGTCCGTATTGAATTCAAAGTATCGCCTAAAGCTCGGGAAGGCTCGAAAATGGACAGGAAATTTTCGCGGATGGCGATCCGGATGGCTTCGTGAGGTACTTTAGAAGTGGATGTGGCGTTGGAGTCCATGGTGACAATAAAGAGTTGAGCTGGGTATCTTAGCGCTTCGTCCCGATCGACGTAGGTGGGCTGGGAAGTCGTGATATATGTACTATTGCCATGGAATCCAATGCCAGCCAACTCCGCCAAGTCAGGCGAAGAGGTCATGGGTCGATTGTCATCGTATTCGAGTGCTCCTGCCCCCCTGAGCTCACGCATTGGTATCTTCGTGGATGTATCTGATAATCATATTATTTCGACATACTTTATGTCTGTGTACATTAACATCTCTTTCATGACAGCTTCCTTCGTCTTCGTTGCACTTCTCTCATCCGGCTTGACTCTACGCAGCCCTCGGTCTCTCCCACGCCTGCCCGTCGCTCATCTCGATGCCACCCGCCATGCTCGTTTGTCCCAGCTTCTCCGCATTCCATCCCTCCTCAGGCGGTATCGGGCTTCTGATCTCCTTCTCCCGACCCAGACCTTCCACGCCAGGCGGCCCGTCACCCCAAATTAAGTACTGCGCTGCAAGTCCCAAGTCGCAGCATGCCTGGAAGATACCACAAGCCTTGAAAGCCCAAGGTACCTCACCACTGCTACTGGCAAAGAAGAACCACATCTTGAACGTATCACCGATGACCCAGTTTACGATGACACTAGGCCTGAATCCTTTGCACCCGCGTCTCTGGTAGTTAGCCAGGAGCTGGGGAATGGGAAGCGTAGCCTCGATTGTCAACGCAACCATGCCCAGCAGATCGGTGTACGGCACAAATACGCTCGTGGATGACATGAGCAGATGCAGCACCAACAGCACCCCAGTAAAGTATGTGATGAAGGTCCAATACGGCCTTGGCGCCCTCCACTGCCAGAAATCGTACGGTCGGTTCGAAACATCCTTGTGTTGGAAAGGGAGGTGCGAGGGCGGCGGTCGGTTCGTGAGCGCGACGTGGAGGAGGAGCAGGTGGACGCAGATCATGAGCAGGGCTTGGACGAGCAGCGAGGTGCTGAAGTGGGCGCCGAACCAGTAGTAGACCTTCAGGATGCTGGCGACGAGCATGATGAGCGGAATATCGAGGGAGAAGCCGGCGGAGCTGCGGGCTCGGTGCATGCTGTAGATCTGGTCGCCATAGCTGGTAATCGGACTCGTCGCGATACTGGGCGCTGTTTGTTAGAGACGGAGAGGCTAGGGAGGTGTGGAGTCGTACAAGACGGGTGCGATGTTCTTCACAATGGCGCTGATGAAGAACATGTTGGTGGTCGTGTGCTTGGCCTGGCGGTTCGTCTCGGAATGTCGGAAGGCTTTCCTGAGGCTCCTTGTGCAACGCTGGAATATCCGACGACTGTGGAAGGAACGCACACGCAACCACGGAACCGTTTTGGCGCGATTGATCGCGGTGTGAGGCTCGAACGAAACAGCACCCGCGGCGAAAAGGGAGGAGGCGCAATCTCCCGCAGATCAGATCTGGCTTGCATTAGTGGCCGCTGTAGGGCTGATAAGCAGCTTAGCGCCTGCCGTCATGGCTGTTACCCAAATACACTCGCAGATCCATGCTTCCATTTGATTTCAAGAGTGACGATATATGGATGCCTTCCACCTCTACCAACACCAATCGCCTAAGCCTCAACACGCACATAAATCCCCTCGCCGTCAAACCACCAACATGTCACATACCGCCTTTTTCTACGGCACCCTGATGGCACCGCCCGTCCTCCACCGCGTGATATGGGGCTCGCAAACCCCTCCTACACCAGCACATGCCTCCCTCCTGCACATACGCCCGGCGATCCTCCACGCGCACCGACGACACAAAGTAAAGCAAGCAGACTACCCAGCCATCCTCCCCGTCGATACCTCCTCGTCTGTTCGCGGAACACTTGTAGAGGGCCTCACAGACGGCGACATCTGGCGACTGGATATCTTCGAAGGCTCAGAATACCAGCGTCGGAAAGTAAAAGTCAAGGTCCTGCAACCGAAAAATGACAACGCCAGTACGGAAGAGGGCATGGGCGACCTGTCACAAAAGGAAGAAGACAATGTAGAAGGCGAAGAGGTCGAAGCGGAAACATACATCTGGACAGCGGGCGCGCATAGACTTGAGGCCGAGGAATGGGACTTTGCAGAGTTCGTTAGGGATAAGATGAAGCGGTGGGTGGGTAGAGAAGCAGCTGAGACCGATGAAGGATTCCAGGGTAGGCCGTCGATCAACGGTAGACCTCCCGAACGAGGGGGGCGTGGTTTCAAGGCTAACAAGATGTAGAAGTCGATGATGCAGTTGCAGCGCTCGATGACCCTACAGGCGGACGCGGCGCGAACGGAACTATATCACGGCAGCTGAACGAAGGAGGTACGAAAGAGGATAAGATTCTCGAAAGTGCAGTATAAATATTGCTTGTTCATATGGTTGTACTATCATCTCTGGCACACTGCCAGATGTGCATGTAGTCTGCGACATGCTGTTCTCCGAGATCACAGCTGAGCTTTGCAGACCGCGTCACTAGTCCTGATAGATAACGCCTCCGTGAAACCAAGATAGGTATAGATGTGTTGAGTAAAAGGTCGAGCTGGCGCTCGCAGAACAACAAAAAAGAAGCTTCATCTCGAGCAATTAAAGAAGGGTAGGGTTGTCCCTCGACCATCCAGTTTGGACGGTTGTGCTCCTCTCCTCGGGCTCTGGTGTTTCTTGAACCACGGATCCGTCGTTGACTCCATCAAGTTGCAGATCGTGAGTGGACTGTGAGATCCCTTCCATTGGATCACATGCCTCCTCTCTACGCTCCAGCGCTCCATCTATGTTGCTGGGAGCAGGTGCTTCTGAACGCCGGGCCTTGTCCCTAGCATAGTCGTCTTCGTCCAGCTTTGTCTGGAGCGCACTATCAACGGGAGTACCTTCGCGTTGACCATGTTTAGACGTCTTTGTGCTGTACGACAAACGCGGATTCTCTTCAAACGTAGGTGAAGGACGGAGCCCTTCGCTGGAATGTGCATAACGTGATGCGGGTTTCCGCTGAGCAGTGGGAGCTGCCTGCACCTGCTGGCGATGGTTGACGTTGATGACTTTGACTTCCTGTGAGTCTTTGATCTCAATAGGTGCGTCGGGGACACTGCCTTCTCGGCTGCGCGAAGCTCTTTGCTTACTTTCCATATCGCCATCTTGATGTCGTTGGGGCGACTTGATGAGCTGGCGCTTCGCTGATGGCGATTTCATGTCATCACTATCGTCACCGTGTCTTCGGCGCTTCTTGGGGCTTGATGTACCGGGTATTTGAGATGTTTGATCGTTTTCTTTGGATTGACGTGGTGTTCTGTTCGAAGTGATGTGTCCGTTGCGCAAAGAATCATGTGATTGGGGTGTTCTGCTGGAAATGCGCACTTCGGGACTATGGCGCCTTGGTGTCGTTTCTGACCGTGGACTACCAACGGCCTGCTTTGCAGGAAATGTGAGCACAGGTGGTGAGTCAGACACCTTGCTGACAGCTATTTGAGGTGCTTCCTCAACAGCAGAAGTATGCTTCGCATCGAAACTGAACGGCGATGCGAGTCTGAGTGGAGGATGAGAAGGTGAATGGGTTCGTGGCGATGTGGGCTGCGCGCCTGCGTTCTTGGGCGAGAGTGCGAGCTTCGGTCCTTCACTGGATAACTCATCAGAGTTGTGTCTGCCCAGATCCGAGGCTTTGTACGTTGTCGGAGCTGGTGATGTCTTTGAGCTCGCAGATCCTTTCTTCGCCTTCTTCTGTGCTCTCCTATCGTCTTCCTGCTTCTTGTAGCAATCAAATATGATTTGACGCATTTTGTGCCTCATTTCCGATGGGTTCAGCTCCGGCCAGTCTTCTTGAGCCGACATTGATCCAGTGAGCAGCTTGTTCTTGAAGTCATCGGGATTCTGGAAGAACTTCTCGATGTAGCCAAGTAGGTAAACACCGCAATCGGTGAAGTTGTTCTGCATTGGAACCTGTGTACTCTTGGGATAATAGCCGTTCTCTTTGATGACAGCCTCCATAGCACGCCGGCTTGCCCCCTCCGCTGCTATCCAGTCTTTGAGAGCGCGAACCGCTCCAGTACGGGCATTACCACCAAGAGAATCGAGTACTATGATGACAGGTTGATCAGGATCTCTTTTGGCTATGGGCTTGCGTTTTGCCTTCTTTTTTGCAGAAGACGCGGTGAACTGAGATTGGGACAATATTCCTGCGTGTGTGTCTCTGATTTCAGCTAAAGCTTCTGTATCTGGATTCTGGGATGTTGAATCTGCTTGGGTCGTCTCTGATTTATGCGGAGTTTCGGTCCCAGTATCGTCGCGGTCGACAAGAGATAGTGCCGCTTCATCAAAAAGCATAGGCTCTTCATCGTTCGTTTGGGCCGCTGTTGCTTCTTCATTGATGACATTTGGCTCTGGGGATGTTGATTTGTGTACCATAGTCGCATGCGTCTCGGGGTTCGTGGCTGTCACGGCTGAATCACTTGCTTGATCGTGTGGGATTACCTGAGGCTCATCGAAGTCTTGAACTATGGGTTTGCGTTGAACCTTCGACATATTGCAGATAATCGCCAGGTACCAATGGGCTCTATAGACTGTTAGCATAGGCTATCAAAGCGGTGGTAATTTGACATACTGTTCGTTGATGGGAACAACAATGTAGTCGTAGGTGAAGATATCAATCTTAGACGTCCAGCGTTGCACAGCCTTGTAGTCCATGGATTTCCGACCCGAGTTCTCGGTAAGCTTCGTGAAGAAGTAGGTGTTGAAGAAGTAGACTTTATCAGCAGGCACTTTGAGCTGCTTGAAGAGGTAGCTGGAGAAGGTTAGCAGCGCTAATGGCAAGGTGAACACGCACTCACATCATGTAGAAATCGATCAGGCTGTCGTTCAAGAATTCTTCCTCGTCCAGGCGGGGCAGATCATCAAAGTGCACTATCGCCCGTTGACGACCTTCGCCAAATTCAAGAGACCTTGGGATGGTTAGCAGAATCATGAGTAAGTGCGTGGAAACTTACTTAGCCCAGGGTTGTCCAAGTCCAGTTTCGACTGAGAATTTGGGTACATCCGACTGTGTAGGCGTGTCTTCGACGTAATTAATCGGGGCCGATCTTGTTGAACGTGACGGACGGGTGGATGCTCTGCTT